CAGGACAAGGCTGTGGTAACTGTTGTGGTTCAGGGCCCCCCTCATTCTGTATAAGTCACTGACTCTGGATCCAGCAAAACAGCCCCAGACCATCACACTTCCTCCTTGAAACTTGATGCCAAGGAATCTTTCACCTACTCAACAGCATACGAAAATCCAGCATAATGAAACCAGGATTTCAGTTTTTGATTCCATTATACTCCCTTCCAGTGTTCAGTAGCCCAAAGGTTTTGTTTCATGGCCCAGGCGAGCCTTTTATTCTTACGTCTTAGCAGTGGCTTTCTTGCTGCAACTCATCCTGTCAAACCTGTAGCTCGAAGTCTTCTGTTCACAGTTGAAGCTGAGACTTGGTTGCCATGACTACTATTAAGCTTGTGCTTGAAGCTGTTGTCCTTTGAGCCGCAAGCTGTCCTCTGATTCAGTTGTGGTATTGGGTCTGCCCGACATCTTCCTGTCACTTTGCTGCAGTTTCTGAGTAACTTTTGATAGTGAAAGAAACTGTACTCTCTGACACCCTGACTCTCTTTGCAATTTCTCTGTAGGAAAAACCTACATTTTTAAGTGTTACAATGGTCTGTGTCTCTTCCATTGTTAATTGCTTTTTTCTCACCATTTTTGTAGCAACACACTTCTTTCAGCAGTATAATACTGATCAACTGATGCTCAAGAGGGTATGATACTGCAGTGACGCAGACAAAGGGGGGTTGTAAGTAATCCAAAAAATTGGGATCACCTGTTGGAATTTGCAGCACCAGCTTTCAAGCCTTGATCAACCTCCTACAGAACAGTTTTGAATTGTTAACCCATTTTGAGTTCCCTGAAAAAATGTCATGAAGAGGCTGTGTGCAGGCAGAGAAGCACCTAAAATGCAGACTTCACAGAGCGAAAAAGTGAACTCAAAAAGCAGCTTTATTTCTGACTCAAGGGTAAAACAATAAAAACTACACTGTGGAAGTAATAACTAAACATAGAGTGAGGCACACAGGGAAACACAGCCATGAATGAGGGAGATCGCAACACAGACCAAGGAAAACACAGGGCTAAAATACACAGAGGGATAAGGAGGGAACGAGAGACACAAAGGGAGCACAGCTGGGAGTAATCAAACCTGAGAAGACCAAGAGGAAGCAAAACGGTAAACATTAACATAGGACACGGACTGTCAAAGTAAAACAGGAAACATAACACAGATGCAGACTTGACAATGGGATACAAACCAAGCAGTCAAGTCCCTTGAAACTGATGAAATGAAAATGAAAAGTGAAAAGCTGCAGTTCAGTCACATCTTGATTGATTTGCATGATTTTATTTAACAACCATTATGGCAGTGTAGAAGCAAAATGACAAAAACAGAGACTTCATTTAATTTTGATCTACCATAAAAAACCATTAGATTTAGAGAAGCACATACGCAAGAAAAGTAGTGTTTGATAAGCTATATTTAGACAAATGATTACAGTTGATCATTTTCTT